CTGGCCCCTTCCCTGCACGTCATCCTCCCCCCACACCCGGCAGATCCTGATCATGGACGTGATTGAGGTGGTGCCTGAGCCTGGCCAGCCCCTGACTAAGAACAAGTTCAAAGTCCTGTATGAGAAGGAGCAGAAGGGGCCGGTGACCGCCCTGTGTCACTGCAACGGCCACCTGGTGTCCGCCATTGGCCAGAAGGTCTGCGCTCTCCCTCTCGCCCTGGGGCCAGCCTGCGGCCTGTCCTCGTCACCTGTGGCCCCTGTCCCCCCAGATTTTCCTGTGGAGCCTGCGGGCCAGCGAGCTGACCGGCATGGCCTTCATCGACACGCAGCTCTACATCCACCAGATGATCAGCGTCAAGAACTTCATCCTGGCCGCGGATGTCATGAAAAGCATCTCGCTCCTGCGCTACCAGGAGGAGAGCAAGACGCTGAGCCTCGTGTCCAGGGTGCGTGCGCAGCCTGGGACCCCAGCCGGGTGGGGGCCGGCCGCGGCCCGCCCTGATGACCCTCCCCCCTCCCGGTCCCCAGGACGCCAAGCCGCTGGAGGTGTACAGTGTGGACTTCATGGTGGACAACGCGCAGCTGGGCTTCCTGGGTGAGCGCAGGGCCCCGGGGGCTCTGGGGCTCGCAGGCTTCGGGGGTGGCCAGGCTGACCCTGGGCTCTGCTCCCCAGTGTCCGACCGAGACCGCAACCTCATGGTGTACATGTACCTGCCGGAAGGTGAGTATGCCCCACCCCCTCCCCTGCGGGGCTGTTGCCGGGCGGGCAGTGAGCGGAGCTCCCTCTGGCCCAGCCAAAGAGAGCTTCGGGGGCCTGCGGCTGCTGCGGCGCGCCGACTTCCACGTGGGCGCCCACGTCAACACCTTCTGGAGGACGCCGTGCCGCGGGGCCGCGGAGGGGCCCAGCAAGAAGTCGGTGGTGTGGGAGAACAAGCACATCACGTGGTTCGGTGAGTGCGGGCGGCGGGCGACGGGCTGGGGGGTGGGGTGAGTGTGGGTGGTGCCACGCCGGCCTGGCTCACACGGGGCCCCCCGCAGCCACCCTGGACGGCGGCATCGGGCTGCTGCTGCCCATGCAGGAGAAGACCTACCGACGCCTGCTGATGCTGCAGAACGCGCTGACCACCATGCTGCCCCACCACGCCGGCCTCAACCCCCGGGCCTTCCGGTGCGTGTGCGCCCCCGCCCACCGGGCCCCCGCCCCCCCGCCCCCGCCCTATAGCCTGCGCGTCCCCCCAGGCTGCTGCACGCGGACCGGCGCGCCCTGCAGAACGCTGTGCGCAACGTCCTGGACGGTGAGCTGCTGAACCGCTACTTGTACCTCAGCACCATGGAGCGCGGCGAGCTGGCCAAGAAGATCGGCACCACCCCGGACATCGTGAGCCCCCGCCCGCCCTGCCCGGCCCGGCCCGGCCGTCCCACCCCGCGCTCCCCCGCCCACCAGCCCCTCTCTCTGCAGATCCTGGACGACCTGCTGGAGACCGACCGTGTCACCGCCCACTTCTAGATTCCCAGAGGCCGCCGCCCCCACCTCTTTTTGTACAAAACACAAGGAAAAAGATGTTTGGTTTGAGTAGAGCTTGTGGTCATTGTTGGGTCTCCTGGCCGGGCTGTGGTCTGAGACCCGTGCTTCCCCCCGCTCACCTAGGGTACAGCATCTTCAGCGCCCCAGGTCTCGGTCTGTGGGGCCAGATGCTGGACCCGCCCTGAGGGCCTCTTGGCCCCAGGACTGCCTAGGTCTCCAAGTACTGGGAGAGCCCCTGGGTCTCGGGCAGGAGGCCCAGCTGGACCAAGAGCCGAATAAGGAGGGTGGTGAGCTGCATCGACAGGGTCTCTAACCTGCGAGGAAGGGCAGGGGGATCAGGGGTGGGTGGGGAGCAGGTCTCGGCCACCCACCCTGGATACCTGCCCCTCCTGTCTCACCTTAGGGCCACTTCAAACTTGAACATCTCCCAGATGACCTTGATGTGGCGCAGGACACTAGCCCCGTAGACACTCTGGTACGCTGCACCTGCCAGGCGGCTCCAGCCCCTGACCGCGCTGCCCAGAGTCACAAGTCAGCCCAGCCTGGTCCCACTCTGGCCACTGCCTCCTGCCACGCCCCCACCACTACCCCGGGGCCTTGGCCAGCCGGCACCCACCTCTTGGCCATGAGGAAGTAGCGGTCGACGGGGGTGCCCAGGGCGGTGTTGATGGCGCGCACGGTGTTGACGTTGCGCAGCACGAGCAGCATGGGCCGCGGCAGGGCCTTGAGCACACCCATGACGGCCTCAAAGCGCTCCTGCGCCATAGTCTGCATGTAGGCCGCCTCCTCGCGGCTCAGCAGGTGCGAGCGCCACAGCTGGCCCAGGCGCACGGGCCGCTGCATGAGCACCTCGGAGAAGAGGAGGTAGTCTGCAGGTGGGGGGTGAGCCGGGACAGGTTGCCCCCCGGAGCTCCACACCCGCAGGGCCCGGCCTCACCTCGCACCCCAAGGGCCTCTGCGTGTGCCTTCATGGCCGCGTCGTCCCGGAGAACGATGGCCCGCCACAGCTGGCACAGGGCCGCCCGGTCCCTGTGGGAAGCCAGCAGTGAGGCCAGGCCCAGCCCCCCCCACCAGCCCCCGAACCATCTCCCTCCGGCTCCGTGGCTGGCTTACTTCTCGTCCAGAAACTGGTAGAGCCCGTGATCCAGCAGCACCAGCTGTGCCTTCCCGTCGGGGCCTTTCCGCACCAGAACTAGGGACGCAGCTTGTCAGCTTGTGGGCTCCGACCCCCACCCTCCAACTCCCAGCCCCGGGCCCTTTCCTACCATTGCCCGGGTGGGGGTCCGCGTGGATGAAGCCGGTGTAAAATATCTGCTCCGCGAAAGCCTGGATGAGCTTCTCCGCGATCTGGGGGGAGGTTGGGACCGGCCACCGCCACTGGGTACTTAGCACACACCCCCCATCTGTGACCTCCCCGCCCCCACCCCCGCCCACCTCGCCCACGGCACTCACATCCTTCGCCGCCAGCCCCATGCCTTTGATGGCGTCCACATCGTTGACCTTGCAGCCGTCACAGAACTCGGCCGTCAGCACGCGCTGGGAGAGAGCAGGTGGCTGAGCTTGGCCGGGCTGCATGTGCCCACCCCGGAGGGGCCCAGCCCACCTTGCTGCACGCGTCCCAGTGCACACGGGGGACCACGACGTAGTGGAAATGCCGCAGCTCCCGTGCACAGCGCTCGGCGTTCCGGCCCTCGTTCTCAAAGTCCAGCTCCTGGGCCAGGGTGCCCTTCAGGTCCTGGGGGCCACATGGGCAGCTAAGGGTCCGGCTTGGGGACCGGCCCACCCCAGCATGGGGCGTGCAGCCTCCCCGCCCCCCCGCGATCCAGCCTCTAGGCGGCGCTGACCTGGAGGACCCAGCTGAAGCCAAAGCTGGGATGCATGAGCTCGACGAGCCGGAGCAGCACCTCCAGCGTGCGAACATCCCCCTCGAAACGGTCCCGCAGGTCGATGTACTGCACCTGCGCAGGCGAGGTTGCGGGGAGGACCTGGGGCCGCCGGCACCACCCCAGACCCTGCCGCAGCGCGGGACAGGCCCCGGCGTACCTTCACGGCCACCTCCGTGCCGTCATGCAGCGTGGCTCGGTGCACCTGGGCCAGGCTCGCGGCGGCGACGGGCTGGTAGTCGAACTCCCGGAAGAGCTTGTGGGGCAGTGCCTGGAAGTCCTCGAGGAACAGCTTGTCCACCTGGCAGGGGGCGGGGGGGTTCGCAGAACAGCCGGCGGAGCGGCAGGGGAGGCTGCCAGACTGCCCAGCCCCCAACCCAAGAGCAGGGATCACCTCCTGGAAGCCACGCGTGAGGGCCCGGTCCTCCAGCACACGCAGAGTCCTGATGTACTCCGGGGGCAGCAGGTGGTTGAAGGAGCACAGCCCCTGGCCCAGCTTCACATAGAGGCCCCCGTTGCTGATGGCCCCGGCGACCAGGGCGTCAGCCGCCCGCTGGTGACAGGCAGACATCACTTCCAAGTACCCCGGGCTGTTCTGACCACAGGCATGGAGGGAAGGGATGGGGGCTGGCGGGCGCCGCCTCAGTGCTCCAGCACCCACCTTCATCTAGCGTGTCACGGCCCCCCTCTTCCCCCAGCGAGAGGCCTTGCCCACTGTAGCTGGGGTGCAAGGACAAACCTCTTCCACCCCTCGCAGGACGACGTTTGTACACCACCAGTAGTCCAGGGAGATCTGCAGGCCTATCCTCAGAGACCTGTTGGCAGAGGCTGCCTTTAGCACCCCCAAGGCACAGGGCCTTGGAGCCATCCCACCCCCGCCCCAGACCACTGGCCCCCAAACTGAGCAGGTGGCAGGGCTGCTGGGCTCCCAGGCGGGGCAGGGAGGGAGAGGACAGGCTCCCGTCCAGCTTCTTTACTCAGCACTGCCGGCCGGGCAGTCTCAGCTCCTGGTCTACACAACAGGCAGCCTGTGTCCACACCACTCCTGTGCCTGAACGTGCAGCAAGGAGCACCCGGGACAGACGGGAGTGGGTGGGAACTGGGGGGTGGGGGGACGTTCAGGCCCTCACGACCAGGCGGGGCTTCTTCCTCATTCTCACAGCACCTAGGACCTGTGCAGCGGTCACCAGCTCCCTTGTGCAGACGCGGTGTTGCTCCAGGCGGGTCTGCACTGCCGGCCCAGCAGAGCCCCCATATGCACCTGCACTGCACATGTCCAAGGACAGCAGCCTCCCAGCAGCTGGATCCCAGGGCAGGGCTCCCACTGCTCTCCGCAGTCCTGGGGGCCGGGGCCCCTCCTTACGTTGGCAAGGGCGAGCACTCACTCCCTGCGGCCCGGGCTATAGACAGGCCGCCTGGGTCTGGAGAGGGAAGGAACCAGGGCTGAGTCCAGCCTCCAGCATCAGACTGCAGACCCTCAGACCTTCATGAGAGGGGTGTCGGGCTCCTGTTCTCAAGGAAGCAGCCCCGAGGAGACCCAGAAACACTGGTCAAGCCAAACCTCTTCTCTTCCTGCGTCCCACCACCTCCGCTACAGGAGGGCCGCAGCTGAAGGAAAAGGCTGCTGGATTCTGGACGGGTCTGCCTCCCTGCTAGGGTAGAGGCTGCCCACCCCGCAGTCGTGGTGACTGAGCACGCTCAGTGTACAGGGCAGCCCGTGCCTTGTGCTTGCCACGCCGCACTCCCCAAACAGGCTCTGTCCCACTCACCCCCATCTGGACCCAGGGAACAAACAGGTCTGTGAAGAACGGAGTGCGTGGCTGGCAGGGGAGCAAGGACACGAATTCTCTGAGCTCCCTAGAGATACAAAGCGGGGGAGGGGGGGCGTCCCTCCTTCTTGAGTGATTCAGTCCAAAAGGCAATGCAAGGTCTGCAAAAGGGGCAGGGTAGTTGCTACACTCAGTGACTGGCCAAACATGCTACCAAGGGAAGCCAAGGTCCTCCCAGCTGGAGAGAGGAGTTCTGGAAAGGGAGTGGATGAGAATGATCTCTGTACTGGGAAATACTGTGTGAATGCGAGGTGTGTGCACAGCCGCAGACACACACGTGGAAGCGTGTGCGCACAGCCCCGTGTCTGAACAGCTCCTCGCTCTCGTCTGCAGAAGAGCCTGGGAGCAGCCTGGAAGCAGCGAGCACACCGCCACCCACCCACAGTCCTTAAGACCCCTCGTCATCCCAAGGAACCAGGCTCCCTGGAGAATGGCCGAGTCCAGGCCTGGGGAAGAACAAGACAGAGTGTCTGAGTGCGTGGAGGGACAGAATGCCCCAGAAGTGGAGACACTGCACACGGACCCGGGGCGGGAGTTAGAACGACAGTCCGAAGACGTAACGCCAAAGTCTAGGCTCGGTGTAGCGTCTCCAGCTCCACGGTTCGAGATGTTTTATAGTAAGATGCCAGAGACAAAACTCCCCGCAGGGGCGCCAGGGGGGCTCAGAGGGTGAAGCCTCTGCCTTCGGCTCAGGTCATGATCTCAGGGTCCTGGGATCGAGCCCACATCGGGCTCCCTGCTCAGGGGGAGCCTGCTTCCCCCTCTCTCTGCTGGCTTGTGATCTGTCAGTCAAAGAAAACAAACTTGGAAATTAAGAAAGGGTCACAAAGGCTAACCCAGAACAGTCAGCAACAAGAAAACAGCGGACGCTGACGGAGAGCAGCGGCCCACACAATCCGTAAGAGACCCCCGAGTGCGGACGGATACAAGTAAGTGGGGAGAAGAGTGTTTCCTACCAGCAGGATGGCAGGTAGCAGCTGTGGAGCCACTGAGCGAGCAAAGCCAGGACGTGGGGGCCGGGGTGGGAATGAACTCACTCGGAAGCCCTGGGAGGCACTGGGCCAGTGGGCAGTGGGGCGCAGGGACCACCTCGAACGTCGCTCCGAGAAGAGCGGCCCGGATGGACCGCCGCCCGGGGGCAGAACCACGGCAAACAGCACCAACTGAACCCGCCTGTGCGCCTCGCTCAGACCCAGACGGAGGGGCCCCTCCAGAAGGGGTCACCAACGTGCTTCCTGACAAAGTGGGACGGCAAGGATTTTGCTGAGCCCTAGGCCTGCCCTCCGCTGCTGCAGTGAGAGCTGGCAGCTGCCCGCGACACGCAGAGCGGACAAGACCACGAGCCCAAGGACGCTTACGCATCCCGTGGCAGCAGCCAACTCTGGCCACAGTTTGCTGACCCCCGTTGTCCAGCATCACTGGCCTATGAGCCTCCCAAGGCGTCAAGGTCCCTGTGTGGTGAATAATTAACTTCAGCCAGAAGGGCCCGGCCTGTGCCCCAGCTCCTGAGTGCCAGGACGGTCTGGTTTGGTGACGGGCAGGGACAGTGCACACTGACGATGCGCTCAGACCGCGAGAGATCAGCCCAGCTGGGGGCAGGGACGGGGACTGGACACAGTTCAGTCGGAGGCCCACGATTCAGTCTTGCCCGGAAGGAGGCTCCCGTGGAAACCGTGCACACAAAGGTCCCAGAACCACCCGGGTGCACGGCGGCCTGTCAGCAACAGGGCAGGTCTCTGAGGATATGGAAACTCTGAATCTGGGGCTCTCCCTGTGCAGCTCTTCCTTGGGCTCTTTCTGGTTTGTCTCTTGTTTGCTGGGAGAACAGCTCAATCCAGAGTACGGCACTTTCCTGAGTCCTGTGATTCGGCCCAGGGAGCCATCGAAACTGACAGCCCTGGGCCCACATGGGGGTCTGGGGGGCCATGCCTGACCCCAGGTTTAGCCATAAGAACCAAGGAGACACTATTCTAGACCGCAGGAAATTGGAGGTGGGCCTGGTATGCGATCCTGGTGACAGGCAGATGAGCTTAGGAAGTTGGAGGCTCATAGCATACCAGTGTCCTGACGGTGCTCATGGAAAACGTCCTTGTTTAGGAAAGACCCCAGCTTACGGGGCAATGGCGCACATTGACAACTCCTCTGTAGGCATTTCAGGAAGAAAAAAGTTCTTTTGTCTAATTCTACAACTTTTCCGGACATTTAAAACTGTCCAAAAAAAAAAAGACCACAGGTTTCTGAAAAGCTACGACTGAATAAGGGGCAAGGGTGGGAGAGCAAGGCCTTGACACGGACTTCCCACCGCTCATCTCTGAGCCTTCACTCACACGGGACATGTTCTAATCTCCGCTCTCCTGCAGAACGTGCGCCCAACCCCCGGGCGGGGAGCCAGCCCTGAACTGCTCCCACCTGCACTCCGGCCTCCCCCATGTTCGATGCCGCGGACTGAGAAGGCCCTGTGGTCGCCCTGTGCCTGTCCTGGCAACGGCTGGGGCTTACAGCTGACAAGAACATGTTGAGAAAAGAATAGTTCCAGCTCCCTCCCTCCAATCCCAGCCCAGCCTCTGAAAGCAAGCTGTGAAAATACATTTTCTTGGGGCACCTGGGTGGCTCTGGGTGGTGCCTGGGTTAAAGCCTCTGCCTCTGGCTCAGGTCATGGTCTCAGGGTCCTGGGATCGAGCCCCACATCAGGCTCTATGCTCGGCGGGGAGCCTGCTTCTCCCTCACTCTCTGCCTGCCTCTCTGCCTACTTGTGATCTCTGTCAAGTAAATAAATAAATAAATCTTTAAAAAAAAAAAAAATGGAGAGCCTGTTTTGTCCCCATGGCAGGAAGTGTTCAAGCCTTCACCCGATCACGGTCTCCATTAGCACAAATCTCAGCGAAGTTTCTGGCTAAGTGCCCGAAGGCCTTAGTAAGGCCTAAGCATTCCCTTGAGAGATGGACCAGGGTCGAGAGGCTGCAGGTGCTCAGAGCCGTAGGCCCCAACCCCACAGCCGCCTCGAGCAAGGTCGCATGCGAGCCGCCTCCCGGGGCAGCAGTACGTGAAGCCTAGCCCAGCCCAGCGGCGGGTGTGGCTTAGACTGAGTTTTCACTCAAAGCCAGGAACTGGCTGTCAGGACTTCCTGGCGGTAGGGATTCCCTGGTCTGGCCAACAGCACAAACGTCTGTCCGAGGGGCTCCGACAGGAAGATCAGCCCCACCCCAGGAATCTAGCACTGGTAGATGAGGGAGTCTGAGAAGGGCCTTCAGTTTAAGGCACCCTTGATATTAATGACCAGACACTGTCCGTCTCTAGTCCAGTCCACGGGGAGTGGAGGAGGGTTGGCAGCCCTCCCGCCCGAGCCCCCGAGCGCTCTGGGTGCCCACTGTCCTTGGGGGAGTGGAGGTGAGAAAAAGAGGAGGAAGGGGAAGAGGAGGAGGAGGCAGCTGCCCGTCTGCCCACCAGCTGGCAGAAGCCGGACCAGCTCTCTGCCCTCCAAGGCTGATCTGCAGGGTCTGGAAGAGGCCGCGTCCCGGGTACACGGCTCGTCAGCACCACGTCCTTGCGGCAGCACTGGAGGGTCTGGAAGGTGGCTTGGAAGATTCCAGCAAAACCCTGCAGCCCCTCCTAGCCCCAGCTCAGGCTCCACACATCTCAGGACAGGGCTGGCTGGGGGAGAAAGACGTCCCATGCCCCCACCCCTCCTACCTGCCGAAGCGCCCTACGCCGTCCACTACGAGCCTCATCCTTCTCTTCTCCTGAGGCTCTGCTGTGAGGTAGTGGGCCCCAAGGAGCAGGGGGACCCCCAGCACCGTGGCAGAGAGCACCTTCCTCCACAGGGGCTGGGGTCTGAGGGACCTGGAGGGAGACAGAGGCGTGTGGTGCGGGTTACTTCCTGTCCGGCCTCCAGGCCAGGGCTCTGCCGGCCTCTGCTCCCCATGGCCCGCGGGGCCCTCCCGGCTGGGGTCCGGCTCACCCTGGGGAGCTGCAGCTGTACCGGAAGCCTCTGCAGGCGACACTGGGTCCAGAGGCCCCTGTGCTCACCAGCGTGTTCCCAATCACCTAGCCCAAGCCCCGCAGACTCCCTGGACGCCAGGCTCCAAGGGCCCGTGAGCAGGAAAGCAGCTCACAGGCAGAGCTGAGAGCCCCACCGGACAGGCCTGCGCTGTGCGAGCCACCGTTGCCCTGAGGATGCCCATATGAACTGCCAAGTGCCAGGACGGCAGAGCTGGGCAAGATGCGTGGGTGACGGGGATGAAGGGGAGAGCCCGACAGGAGCCCGGCATTGAGTCACACGTCTGTGCCGAGGTCACCAGCGAGTGTGGGCTCAGGTAACTCACTGCAGCCCGCCAGGCCCGAGTCTGGCCTCCTGACGCCTCCTGCCTCACTCCCACGCTGTCCTGCCCACTGGCCTCAGGCCTGGAACCCTCCTGCCTCCAGTTCTCGCTACTTCTACGGCTTGTTTTGGCTCTAGCCACAGCGGCCAGGCCTTCTGCACGCTCTGAGCCAGCGACTGTCTTCCCAGAGCACACAGCTCTAGCCGCCGTGTGCTCACGCTGCCGCCAGCAGAGTCCCGGCCCAGGAGCGCCAGTCCCCGGTGGGGGCAGAGGCTGGTGACTCCAGGCCACCACACGGAGGAGCAGACACATCTGTCGTGCCGGCGGAGGCACAGAGAAGTCCGGCCTGGGGCCCCACAGGGGAGGTCTTCCATCCCTGCCTGGCAAGGGGCACGGGCCGCAGAGGGCACCCAGGGCTGCGGGGAACTCACCACCTTGCAGGCAGGACCCGGAGGTTTCTCCTGGGAAGAGCAGCAGGGGCCAGGCGGGGGTCCCGGCTGCTCTGCAGCAGGGCAGAGTGGAAGCGGCAGAGCTGTGACTGCAAAGGGAGCAAACGGCACAGGGTCACCCCGGCCCCGAGCTGCGAGGCAAGCAGCACCTCCCAGGGCCCCAGTACGTCACCAGTGTCGGTCAGCACTTGCAGGGTCTGTGCTCAGGGCCAGGCCCACACGTTCGCTTCAGGAACGCAAGGACAATCCCATCTCTGGGGAGCAAGGCCAAGATCCAAGCACGACACGAGAGCGGCAAGGCTACACTGTCCGCACCAGGAGCCTCTGCCTCCAGGCACCACAACAGGTCACTAGAAACACCCCACCTCCATGCATCCCTTCTGTTCCTGCCTCGGACCCTCTCCTGGTGGTCCTGGGACCTCTTGCTGACTATCCTTCTGCTTCTCAGCCCACTGACCAGTAGCCTCAGGAAGTCATTCTGAATTTCCAAAGATGTGTAATGTTTAATTACACAATCAGAAAGATGTCAGGGGTGGGGTGGGGGCAGAAGCAGTAAAAGGACCCCGTGCGGGCGGTTGCTCTGGAAACACCTGCTAGGACCCCAGCGGCAGAGACACGGCAGAGGGCAGGGAAGGCCAAGTGGAAGACGTGCCACAGCCAGCCACAAGGACCACGGGGACCGCTCAGAGTGCCGGTCTGTTTCAGCGACCACAGAAGCATCACGGCCCTCCTACACTTTCAGACAACCCTGGTCTCCCAATCTTATTTGAATTGTGGGGTCTTATGAGGTCTTTAACCACAAATTGCCAACAGCAATTCCCTTTATAGAGAAAAAAAGGTTGTGTATGATGACCCATGGCACAGATGTTAACATTATTACCGTGAACCCTGAACCAAATAAAGGACCGGCTTTCCGACCATTTTCTGGCCAAAGCACACAGCCCTGAAGGCAATTTCAAGGACTGCAAAACAACACAAAAGTCAAAGGAAAAGGTCCACGACCTATTGTCCCAAGAGGAGAACACAGGCTGAGAGAAAACCTCTGCTTGGCGAGGCCACACACAGTGAGCGCAGATCCTCAAGGAAACCCCAGAGGCGAGAAAGGCAGCACAGGCAGAGCCGTAGGCTTCTGTGCGAGAGAGAGCGGCCGGCGCGGCGCCCCCCCGCTGCCCTCTGGCCTGCGCCCTGCTAGGCCACGGGCACACGGCTCTGTGCAGGCTCCGCAGCAGAAGCCCAGAGGATGGGCGTCTGTGACCACAGACACCCGGTGACGGCCACTCAGAACATTCGCGACGGCCTGCAGTACGGGCTCTGGGCTGGGATCTCGAGGGCCTGTGACCACAAGCACGCGCGCCAGAGGGAAGGCCTCGTGTGCCCACGCCCTCCCCTCAGAGGCCTCTGTCCAGGCTCCGTCCCCTGCCTGCTCTTCTCAGGGCCCGCAGTCCCGTCCCCCATACTCCTCCCGAGCCCGCTCTTCCACCGCACGTTCCCCTCCCACAATCCCTGCCGGAGATGTCCCGCATCCAGCCAGGGGCTGCGGACGCGGACAAGGCCAACGAGACACAGGGACGGCTCGGGGCGCCAAGGAGGGAGGACCCTGCCATCCGGCTGCACGTGGGACTCCCACAGGACACCAGAGAGGGTCTTCGACACAGAGAAGGTGGACTCGGTGGAGGCCCAAAGCCAGGAGAGCGCAGGGCATTTCTGGGGAGGAGAGGCCTATGCGGCTGGGACCTGTGGTGGGGGCTCACAGGTGGTGGGCGGGGGTGTGCCCACGAAGGGGGGCGGCCAAGTGAGCTGGAGCAGGCAGAGCACCCCAGGGGCCCCGGGGTCTTCCTACAGGGAGCGGGCACTGTGCTGGGAGGTCAGTCCAGGAGGAGGGTGAGGCTGGGTGGAGTTGAGCGGATTCGGGGCAAGCGTGGGGACCTGGCAAGATGGCCCCAGGCTGGTGCCGGAGAGCCGGGGAGCGCTGGGATGCCGTCCCACCCCGGCCGCCTGGCCCTCCGGCCTGAGAGCTGTGCTGTGCTTCTGCTCTTCTGAAGAGGACGGCAAGCCCACTAAGAACGGGAGCTCAGCCCTCACTGTCCGTGACCCTGAGCACGTCTGCCGAGTGGATCCAGGGCTCAAGGACCCTCTCAACAGCCTGGCCTCTCCAGAAAGTCATCAGGATCTGTGAGTTGGGAACACTGGTGCTGGGCACAGCCACTTATCAATTCTCTGCTTCCATAAATACTTGCAAATTTTTAAAAAGATTTATTTGAGAGAGAGAGAGAGAGAGAGAGAGAGAGAGCAAGCAGAGGGAGAGACAAGCAGGCTTCCCGCTGAGTGAGGAGCGTAACGGGGACTCGATCCCAGGACCCTGAGATCATGACCTGAGCCAAAATCAAGAATTGAATGCTCACTATGATCTCAGGGTCCTGGGATCGAGTCCCACAATGGGCTCCCTGCTCAGTGGAGAGCCTCCTTCTCCCTCTCCCTCTGCCTCTCCCCCTGCTCGTGCTCACTCACTCTCTCAAAAAAAAGGAATCAGACAACCACTGAGCCACCCAGGTGCCCCAATGTTTGCAATTTTTTATAACAATAAGTTAAAACACAATCACAGGAAAAAAGCTGTCACCTGGGAGGCTAGATAGACAAGAGCCCAGACACACCTCAGGCAGCAGGAAGGGTCCTATGAACACAGTCTGGGGACAACACTCTAGTCAGCATGCGGCAAGCGTGGGGAGTTCCTGCTCACACCCCAGGCGAGAGGAAGCTGTGTGAGAATGACCTTGTTAGGGGATGCACGTTGAAACGTTTAGAGGTTGAGTCAAAACGTCTGCAACTTACATTCAAATGGTCCAATGACAACTATACACACACACACACACACACACACACACACACACATATTTTAAGACTTTATTTGACAGAGAGAGACAGCGAGAGAGGGAACATAAGCAGGGGGAGTGGGAGAGGGAGAAGCAGGCTTCCTGCTGAACAGGGAGCCCGATGGGGGTCTCGATTCTGGGACCCTGGGATCATGATTTGAGCAGAAGGCAGATGCCTAACCACTCAGCCTCCCAGGTACCCCCAAAATATGTGGTTTCAAATAGAAATAGGAACAACTATAGCAAGACACTCACAGCGTGCGGTCACAGGCGGCATCTGCACAGTTAGCTACATGCGACCATTCTGTAAGCTTGGCCCTGAATTTTTTTTTTTTAAAGATTTTTTATTTCTTTATGTAACAGAGATAGAGATCACAAGCAGGCAGAGAGGCAGGCAGAGACAGAGGGGGAAGCAGGCTCCCTGTTGAGCAGAGAGCCCGATGTGGGGCTCGATCCCCGGACGCTGAGATCATGACCTGAGCTGAAGGCAGAGGCTTTAACCACTGAGACACCCAGGCGCCCGTCCCTGTATTTAAATGTTCTTACGAGGGGCGCCCGGGTGGCTCAGTGGTTAAAGCCTCTGCCTTCGGCTCAGGTCATGATCTCAGCGTCCGGGGATCGAACCCCACATCGGGCTCTCTGCTCAACAGGGAGCCTGCTTCCTCCTCTCTCTCTGCCTGCCTCTGTGCCTGCTTGTGATCTCTTTCAAATAAATAAACAAAATCTTAAAAAAAAAAAAAATAAATAAATAAATGTTCTTACGATCCAAGTCAACAGGCATCTGCTAGGCTATGCCAAGTCCCAGTCGGAAGGCGGCGCTGTTTTATTGCCCCATTGTTTCCTTTATAGACTTACACAGTGTTGCAATCACATAGGAAGCCTTGTATCGCTCTGTAAAAGTAAACGACTGAGCTATGCTATGACTCCGTAACCTGACAAAGTCTAATACAGGCCATTGCTTTTACCGCCTTCCCCAGCTTCAAATACTTTAGTACCACGTGGGTTCTATTTTTAACCTTCCTCACTTTTATATTATTGTCAGATATTTGTAAGTTGCTTTTTTGTTTTTTTTTTTAAGTGGGGGAGAGAGAGGGAGGGCATGGAAGGGGCAGAGGGAGAGGGAGAGAATCTTAAGCAGGATCCATGCCCAGTGCAGAGCCTGACATGGGGCTTGATCTCACCACCCTGAGATCATGACCTGAGCCAAAATCAAGTCAGATCGTCAACCAACCGAGCCACCCAGGCGGCCCTATTTTAAGTTTTTATTTTCCTCCAGCACAGTCAACGTGCATGTTATGTGACTGTGTGACACAGCGACTCAACACTTCTACCACTACCTGGTGCCCATCGCCCTCTTTGACCCCCAGCCCTGTTTCCCATCCCGCCACCCTCCTCCCCTCCGGTGACCTCCATTCTCTAGACTGAAGAGTCTGGTTCCTGCTTTGTCTCTCTCTTTTGTTTTTCCCTTTGCTCATTTGTCTCTCAGATCCCACCTGGGAGACTGATGAGCCACATGCGGCATTTGCCCTTCTCTGACTGACTTTGCTCACTGGCACTATTCTCCAGCTCCATCCGTGCTGCTGCAAATAGCAAGACCCCATTCCTTTCTGTGGCTGAAGAACATTCCACTGCACACACACCACGTCCTCTTCATCCAGTCACCACTCAAGGGCACCTGGGCCACTTCCACAATCTGGCTACTGTTGATAATGCTGCTATAAACAAAGGGGGCATGTAGCCCTCTGAATGAGTGGTTTTGTATTTTGGGGGTAAGCAGCTAGTAGTGCAAATGCTGGGTCATAGGGTGGCTCTATTTTTAACTGCTTTTTTTTTTTTTTTTGAAGATTTTATTTATTTATTTGATAGAGAGAGATAGGGAGAGAGATCACAAGCACAAGGAGCTGGGGACGGAGAAGCAGGCAGCCCACTGAGCAGGGAGCCTGACACAGGGCTCAATCCCAGGACCCCAGGACCATGACCTGAGCCAAAGGCAGACACCTAATGATGGAGCCACGCAAGCACCCCGAGGTTTAACTTCTTAAGGAACCGCCATACTCCTCCCGAAGGGCTACAGCGGCTTGCATTCCTGCCAGTGGTGTAAGAGAGCTCCTTTTCTCCACATCCTAGGAAGGTGGCCTTATGAAGATGAGGCAGCTAGGGCAGGGCGGGGCCACTCGCCAAGGGCGACCATGTGCTCAGGACACCAGGCACTGTCTGGA